CCGAAAAGCAGCAAGAGGCCAGCCACCAGCCATGCAAGTGGACCAGCGAAGCGGGCAAGGAAGTCGAAAGGAGATCCGGCCTCACCCGTCGACATCACCACATCCACCTGGAGTCAAAGGACATCACAGGTCCCAAAATATTCAAAAATCATCCAAGAAGATCGTACAAGCAAAATACACGATCGCCCCGAGTCAATGAGAGTCATAATTCATAATTGACGCAGCTTCACTACCCACGAAAGACTTTCTAGACTTCATTGCCAACAACGGCCACATTTTTTGGGGCTCCTGACAGTTGCTTGACCTTTAACGATGGCCCCAGGCCTTCTTGTCAGCAAGCTGGTTGAAGAGCTGATCTTCAATCTGGCTATTTGGAATGAGGTTCACTTCCCGCCGGGCACCTTCCTTGGTAACATACTGGGCCGACAGCATGTCTGGCTGAACCCGCACCATCTCAACGTCACCGTTGTTCACTGAATCAATGAAGTCCGAGTAATTGACCACATCTCCAGCATGCGCAGGCTGCAAGTCCATGCCTTGAGTCAACAGAAGAGCTGCTGCCATGTTCGCCACCCATCGCAAGGGGCCCTCCATTGGGCTGGTGCTATTCTGCTGAGTGTGCTTCAGCTCAGCAGCCAATGCCTTCAGATCCCCAATGCGATCCCCCTCGTGAGGTTTGGACAAGACATCCTGAACCGATGCGACCAAGTGCATCAGGCCGGATTCTGACATCTCCTTCTTGGCCTTTGCCAGTGACTTTTGACTCCTCAAGCTGGACTCATTTCATCCGGAGGAGAGGGAATGCTTCTCTCTGAACAAACACAACTTGCCGTGAGATTCAGAATCCTACAGTACACAAATCCTCTTTGACGTTATCAGATTCAATGGAGAAATTGTACAGACTCACAGCCCAATCACGAGCTCCTCACTGGCTTTCTTCGGTTGACTGCAGCTGCTGCAGCTGTCACTCCCATGGTCACGCCTGCTGTGAGGCCTGGTAGCGAGCTCGCTGCATCTTGCTTCACCTG